GGGGGCTCTGCAGCCTGCAAAGCCCACAACAGATCCTGCACAGCCCCCCTGAGATCCTGTAGACCGAAAGGTCTCAGGGGGTCTCTGCAGGATCTGTGGGGGGGGCTTTGCTGGAACCGTTGGGGGCTCTGCAGCCTGCAAAGCCCACCACAGCCCCTTTTTTAGATCTTCAAGAGCTATTGTGGGCTCTGCCCACCATAGACCTCACCACAGATCCTGTAAAGCCCCCCTGAGACCCTGCAGAGCCCACCACAGATCCTGCACAGCACCCCTTAGACCACAGCTTTCCTGCTATGCTAATAGCAGAACATGTCAAAAGCTGGATACAGTGTGTGCACTGTATCCAGCGGCTGGCAGGTTACGCAAAAAGTATTTAACAGGAAGGGGTGGGGTAAATTTAGTGGGGGAGGGGGGAGCGCCAAAATTTTGCCTTGCCTAGGGCAGCCCCAAACAAGAATACACCACTGGCTATAGGATGAAATTTTCGAAAAGGCAACCGCGTCCCTTACCGCAATCATTACTCCTAGTTTTTTGGGGGGAATTAGCAAAGTATGTGTTTGGGTAATGTTTGTGAGAGCAAGGTGGTGCTTGAGATATGGAAAAGTGCGTTTCTTGAACACATGACATCTGCTTGTAGTGTACGGGCTTCAAGCCATAGATTTTGCCATTTGGCAGGATGGTTTAGGCCTTTGGTGTTAAGCTCTGTTTTAACAGACATCTGGCTCCATTATGGTTTACATTCAGTTACTACAAGTTCTATCTGCCAACATGGTAGATGGGACATGTGCAGAACCACGCTGACTATCCCTCCTCCCTTGTAGTCCAGTGGCACTTTCTTCAGTCGAGGTCAGTACCAGTGTACAGACCCGAGGCAGGGGGAAACATGGATCAAGCATTTGTGCCCCTTGGACGTACTGATCGCAGGTGCCAGACTGTACACATTTCTTAACAAAAAATGCACATTGATATTAAGAAAACGGTTGAGGCATCTGCGATTTGTTTTGCAAAAAGTGGACTTTATAGCATTTAAATATCTACCCAATCCTGGGATTGTGGTCCAAAACCTCCTGGTTATAGCCACAGTGTAATATTTCTGTTAGACTCTGACAGCTCAGCCACAGGTCTCGTGTTCCATGTATCCCAATTAGAAAGCAGTCAAGTCCTCAACCGCCACTGCAGTAGCAGTTTATTCAAGAGCACCCCACAACCGTAATTCAATTATAAAGAAATAGAATGGAGGGAATGATCGGAGGGACGGGCAGTGGAGGCGAGCCACAGGTGTGAGGATTTAGGAGTAGAGCAACATACAAGCAGACAGATGCGATACACAGGCTACACACTTTGGATCTTCCTGACTTGAAAGCAACAGGTATGTGGACAACCTTTAGATATAGGAGGGACAGATGACAGCAATGATCAATCACCCATAGATATATAAAAAAGGAGCAAGTTGAGTCACATAGGGACAACACTCACTTGGAGGGGGGAGTTTTGGTTGTTAATCAATTTTGGTTGGCCTTGCAAGGCATAAACTATGTGTGTAGGGAGAGGGTAATAGAATTATGGGGATATGAACGATGGGCACTTTATTGGGGAGCAATTATTAGATATCTCCTTTCTCTGATATATATAAAAAAGTTTGTTTGACAAAAAAAAACCTAAGAATCAAACAAACATATCACTGCTAAGTGGATATATGTTTTGCTCATTTAAGAGTGATTTCCACTTAACTAACTTAACCATTATGATTATTTTTGACATCACACATTCACAGCAATATATACGAATAGATATGGATGGAATACTGGAGGGGGTACATTACCCCTCCCTTTTTTTCCAGGAATTTTCAAACAAATTCCTGCTGTGAATGTGTGATGTAATTTTTTATCTTTTATTTTGCCTATATCTATATCTATATCTATAGAGATATCTATATATATATTTTTGTGGCACATACTCGTATGTTCACAAGGGTTGTTTACTACAATGACTTATATCCGAACATTTTGACACAGGACCACTAAAACATAGCACTGGACTCACAAAGGGTTAGATAACATGGAAGGCACTTGGTCAGACGGGAGAACATAAGGAGGTTATCTTGGATTAATTATCCACATAGTACTTACAAGTAGGGATACACATAAATACATATATGTGAATATAAACATACACGATAGGAGGCATGGTATCCTACAGAGAGATATAATAGCCCAACTAATTCCTCAGCACAGGTGGCTCTCCAAAAACTGTTCGTTCCGCAAGCACCCTCTCTTGTGGCCCCAGGGCCCCCAAATTGACCCCTGGACGGAGTGGTGACGTCGGGATTCCGATCCCTGTCTACACTTGATCTGGGGAATCCTATTTGCATCCGGGAAGTCCATTGGGTGGTAAGTGAGAGGTGTTTGGGTTATGGGGGTGATATTGGTGATATTGGTGATGGGTGTCCCTCTGTCCGGCGGAGCTGCCATGAGCACGGTTCTCTTCGGTGTCTAGACTTCAGAATGGATTTACATGTTGCGCTACCTAGATGAACTAATCTAAAACTCAACATTTCCTATTAGACAGATGCTGAGGAAGCAATATGCGAAACGCGTAGGGTCTGGATACATGGATCCCCAAATGAATATGCATGAACAAAATGATTTGGAATTAGGATGCAACTGTTTAATGTATTTAAGATGAGATTGAACTGAGATTCTAATTTCATGAAATGTATACATGTGTTTTATTATATGTAAAATAAATATATTTTTTTATATCAAATAAATCAGGTGTTGGTGTTATACCTCTCAAAAAACCCCATTTCTCTGCGTGTTGTTACAAATGGTTATTACCTAAAGGGGGAGAGGATACACCTGGAGACCACTGAGGCAACAAGTCACCATTGTATTTCTAATTATAAAGAAATAGAAACAAAGTCATCCTTCAGCTTTAAATCTCAAAATGCAAATTCACGCATCAGTCGCTGACAAACTTCACTGCAAGACATTTGTGTGAAAAGAATCTGGCCTCCTCAAAGACTACTAATGGAAGGGGAAACTAAAATTACTATAAAGGGGAAGAGGCCTTTCATTTTAAAAATGGTTGTGTTTGCATCCAAATACTAAACACAAAAACCCTGTTACATGTAGATGGATATGAAAACCCTCATGCTAGCATAAAAAAAAGAACCTTACTCTTCATTACCTCATTTTACCCTTTGATGTGATATCCACTCGGATTGGTTCAAATCGATAAGCTGGCGATACAACTTCTACTACATAAGAACCAGGGGGAACATCATGGACCACAAAGCTGCCATCCTGTTGGGTAAATAGACACCAAGCATGTCAAGCCTTAAAATTGCGTGGCCCTAAAATTATTGCTCACACTCGACGTTCGCGGCACAATAGGCGCAATCGTTTTCGCACGTAGGCGCACCCGACGCATATCTGCACGAGTATGTGGGGGGCGGAGGACTTTTAAAAAAAATGTTAATGCTTCTTTTTTGGGGGGGGATTCTTTAATTTTTGTATTACTTTCTTTTTTACACAACTTTATTGCTGTCACATGGGGGACTAAGAAGCCCCCTATGTGATAGCCAATTTACATGACAGGTCCTCTTTATGGAGACATCAGGGGTCTCCAAGACCCATGTCACCTTGGGACCCTCAGAGAAGCTGATGAAGCAGATGTCTGCTTCTGTAGCTGGAAAGTGACACAATGCAGGAAGTCGCACGCGCACACACACGGCTTGAAAAATGTTAGCGTGTCTCACCAGTCAGTCAAAAATTTCACATGACAGGACTATAGCCTTGCAATTTATGTTAAAAAAATTTAAGGACACAGAGCTTTTTTTTGGTGGTATGTAATCACCACTAAGGGGGGTTATTTTTGACTATCAATTAAAAAAGTAGGTTTTCCCTACGTTATGTTATAAAACATTTATTCTTACCCATATTTGTGGTAAAATATAAACAAATGGGGTCACAGACACCAAACATGTCAAGCCTTAAAATTGCACACGCCTGCAAAAATCCCAAAAAACTACCACACCGAAAACATGAGTGGATTACCTGATAACTCTGTTTCCAGGAATCTTCCAGGACAGCCAATGAGATAAGGTTCTGCCTGCCTGCAACAGGAAACACATCAACCACATTAAATAAAAAGACTCCTCCTTCCATCCCAATTCAGTACCCTCTAGGACCGAAGGCTACCAAATGTACTAAAATATCCCCTCTGTCATCCAACCACGGATGTCCCCTGGATAACAACCAAGGGTGGGAATCTGCTGTCCTGGAAGATTCCTGGAAACAGAGTTCTCAGGTAATCAACTCATGTTTTCCCCAGTCATCTTCCAGGACAGCCAATGAGAGGATCAGTGAGGACAAATCTTACCTCTTAGGGTGGGACCACAGCTTGCAGGACCTTCCTGCCAAATGCCTGGTCTTGTTGAGACATAAGGTCCAGCCTGTAGTGCCTGACGAATGTCTGGAAACTGGACCACGTGGCTGCTCTGCAGATCTGGTCTGGAGTAGCCCCTGCTCGCTCAGCCCATGAAGTAGCCCATGCTCTAGTCGAGTGTGCTGTGAGCGGACCTGGTAATACCAAGCCCTGTGCCTTGTAATTCTCAGTTATGGCCATTTTAATCCACCTAGCTATTGTGCTTTTAGTGGCCCTGTTCCCTCTAGTGGGACCCCCAAATACTACAAAGAGGCGGGTCGACTGTCTCCAAGGTTTCGTGACCCTAAAGATACTCCAAGACGCACCTTCGTAAGTCAATACCTTGCCATTCCTTTTCTCTAGCAGAGGTAGGGTTAGTTGCAAACGAAGGGATGACCACCTCCTGAGTCCTGTGGAAAGAGGACACCACCTTCGGCAAAAAAGCCGGATCAGGCCGCAAAATAATTTTATCGACCAGGATGGTGCAGTACGGATCCGCTATGGAGAATGCTTGAATCTCGCTCACTCTCTGAGCAGAAACCAATGCTACCAAGAGGGATGTCTTCATCGTCAAATTCTGTATTGAATACTCCCCCAGGGGCTCGAAAGGCTGCTTGAGAAACCCTTGTAATACCACCGAGAGATCCCAATTTGGCACGACCTTGCCCTTTGGGGGTTTCATTCTGACTACAGCTCGCATAAATCTTTTTATGAGAGGTTCTTCCGCCAGTCTAATGTCCACAAAATTAGACAGAGCTGAAACCTGCACTTTTAGAGTACTACAGGAAAGCCCTTTCTCCAACCCCCCTTGTAGAAAATCTAACACCAGTGGTACTGTGTCAGCCGTTGGTCTACCTTGGCTGTTGTACCAGCTTGAAAAGCTCTCCACACTTTCAGGTAAATCGCGGACGTTACCGGTTACCTACTGTCCATCAGTGTAGACACTACCTTTGCAGATAGCCCCTTGGTCATCAGCACCTCCCTCTCAGAAGCCATGCTGCTAAATTTAAAGCTTGTACTTGCGGGTGTCTGACCGTGCCCTGTACCAGCAAGTCTGCCGTTGGCGGAAGCAGAGGCCCCACCACACACAGCTCTAGGAGTGTCGTGAACGCCTCTTCTGCCAGTATGGCGCTATTAGAATTAAAGTCATCCGCTCTCCCCTGAGTTTCCGAAGTACATTCGGAATCAACTGCAGCGGAGGAAATGCGTAACCTAACCGGAACCTCCAGGGGTGCGCCAAAGCGTCTACCCCCAAAAAATTGTTCCACCTGCCTGTTGGCTGCTGCGAAGAGGTCTACCTCTGGACAGCCCCACAAGCTGGTGATCCAGACAAACGTCCTCGTGTTCAGAGCCCATTCGGACCTGTGAAGCTCCGTTCGGCTGAGTGAGTCTGATATGTCTCGCCGTCAAGGAGAGGAGGTTGCGTTCTGCCCATGATAGAATTTCCGTCACCAATGCCATTAGGCCATGCGACCGCGTGCCCCCCTGGTTGTTTAAATAAGCTACCGCTGCAGCATTGTCTGAGGCCACCACTACATGGTGGCCTGCTAAAGTATCTTGAAACTGGCAGAGAGTCAGCCCTATCGCCTTAAGCCCTCTCCAGTTTGACGACTTGATTCTGCCCGCGTGCTCCCAGGTACCCTGCCAAATGTGCTCCAGGCAGTGGGCTCCCCATCCTCAGACACTGGCATCTGTCGTGACTACTAATGGTGCTGGCTGGCACCACAGCCTGCCTACTGAGAGGTTCCGACAGTCCATCCAACACAGCAGGGAAGGTTTGATTTCCTCCGTGATGGACTATTTTGTCTAGGTCTTCTTGCCGACTTCCCCAGATCCTCAACAGCCAATTCTGTAGTGTCCTCGAATGGAATTGCGCCCAGGTAACTGCTGGGATGGCGGACGTCATAAGTCCCACCACTCTCATTACTGATACGTCGCACTGCAACTTCACTCTCAGTGTCTCTTCCACCAGCAAAGACACTTTTTCCCCTTGTAATGTAATGGTCATTTCCTGGGTATTGATCCAATAACCTAAAAACCTTACCCTCTGTGTGGGGACCAGTTGTGACTTTTCCCTGTTCACCAACCAACCCAGACTCTCCAAGTGTTGTATCGCTAGCTCCAGCTTTTGTTGGAACACAACCTCTGATGGGGCAAAAAACAAAAAGGTTGTCCAAGAATGGAATGACCCCCACCCCCCGTGACCTTAGGGGGGCCAGAGTCTCTGCCAATACTTGTAAACATTTGAGGCGAAGAGGAAAGGCCGAACGGCAAGGCCCTGTATTGAAAATGCAGGACTCCAGCCGGTCCCCGGACAGCAAATCTGTATTGTATTGTGACGACTGTCTCACTGCAATATGAAAATAAGCGTCTCTCAGATCTATAGCCGCTAAAAAGGATTCCGGGGGGCAGCAACTCTCGTATTGAAAAGATCGATTCCATACGGAACTTCTTGTACAGTACCACCCTGTTCAGAGGCTGCAGATTGAGTATCAGTCTGCACTTTCCCAAGGGCTTCATCCTGGAAAAGATGTGGGAGTAAAATCCCCTCTTCTCCTCCAAAGTCGGTACTCACACAATGACCCCCTAGTCCAACAGATCTTGCAGAGCCGCTGTCATTGCCTCTGCCCTCTTCCGGTCCTTGGAAAGGGAAATAACCAGAAGCCTGGACGGGGGCCATTCCGTCAGTTCAATTTTGTAACCGATCTGAACCAGCTCCAAAATGAATTTGTTGCTGGTCAGCTCCCTCCAGAGTGGGAAGAATTCTCCCAGTCTTCCTCCCACCCTGAGCAATCGGTCATTGGGATTTATTGGGCTGCTGAGGGGGGTTAAAGAGGAAATTGCTCTTAGACTTTTTTTTAAAAGCCCACCCTTTGGATTGGTCTTGTTTTTCCCCAAAAAGACCCCTTTGGCCACGAAAAAACTTTCCCCTGCTGCTTGGGTGCCAGCGGAAAACCCTTCTTGTCCGCGGATCTATCCAACACCGCCTCCAACTCCTGGCCAAAAAGCAAGTCACCTTTGAAAGGTAGCCCGCATAACTTTGCCTTGGAGAATGCATCCCCTGACCAAGTTTTGAGCCACAGTGCTCTCCTGGAGGAGTTGATCAATGCCGTAGTTCGAGCTGAGTACCTGACCGCCTCAGCCGAGGAGTCCGCAATGTAAGCGGCTGCTTTGCTCAGTACAGGGAGGGAACCTAGCAACTGATCCCAACCAGCCACACCCCTAAAGTCCGAGCTGAGTACCTGACCGCCTCAGCCGAGGCGTCCGCAATGTAAGCGGCTGCTTTGCTCAGTACAGGGAGGGAACCTAGCAACTGATCCCAACCAGCCACACCCCTAAAGTCCTGCCCACGCAAGTAATGGCCAGCCCTGGTTTAAACCCAGCACTCGCTGATTCCCATCCCTTTCTGAGCAAAGCCTCCGCTTTCCTGTCCTTCAATGCTCCCATATCCTCAAACGATAAATCAGTCTTTTTAGAGACCTTTGATAAGGAGGCATCTATTTTCCAGCATTTTTCCCACAGGCCTGAATCCTCCTCCGCAAATGAAAACCTGCGCTTGTGTCCTGCCGAGAAAAACATTTTCTTCTCTAGGTGCTTCCACTCCTCTTGGATCAGGTCCGAGTGATTTGTGGACCGGGAAGGTATGCCTTTCTTAGTCTGAAGTCCTTTGTAAAGTTTATCATGAACTGACAGCTCAGCGGACTCTAATACCCAAAGTATCCCATATGGCTTTCAACAGCTCACCTGTCTCAAACGAAGGAAAAAAGAATTTCGTAGCTCTGCTGCTATGTAACTCCCCCTTCGACTCATCCTGATCCTCCGACTCTACCTGAGAGCCCAAGGATTCACTGGGCGCTTGCTTGCTCACGCAGCTTTC